ACCGCCCACCTTCCTCTTGACGCCCTCTCTGCAGGGGCACCAGCTCTCACCTCCCAGCCATCAAGCAGAGGGCACAGCTGCAGGAGAGCGGAAACCTCCCAGGCCAGAGGATCTGTCCTCTCCCCAATGGGCTTCCATAGAAACCCCAGTGCTCCCCAGCAGGGTGAGCACTCTTTGGCAGTGGGAGGAGGCAGCTGCTATTTCTGGCAGTGGGTGAGGTTCTATCAGCCTGGCCTGACCCTCCCTGCTTTGCTGCAGCCTAAACCCAGAGTGCACCCAAGCCCACCTGCCACCCTATTTCAGACTAGCCTGCCTTGTACCAGCCTCGGTCGTCGTTACGTGGAGACATTCTCCCCCTCTCCCCCACAGCCCTTCCGACAGTCAGCCAGCCAGGTACTCACTGAACTCAGCTCCCAGCGAGGTGCGTGGGGTTCCTCAGACAGAAAGGCACGAAGCTCTGCCAGCTGGGGGTGGTGGGTGTGAAGAAACAGCCTAAGGTAGCTACTGCCAGGTGCCAAATGAGCGGTAGAAGCAGGCCGTTTTATGTGAACTAGGGAGGAAGGCATTTGGGGGCTGTGGGCAGGGGAGGCATTTTTGGAGGAACTGGGAGGTAACCTTTCACGATGGATGGGGAAGGCAGCTGCAAGGCACAAGCAAAGGCCCCCGGGTGAGAATGTGTGAGGTGTGTCTGGGCTGAGTAGACCAGTGTGGACGGCTGGGTGGGCTTGGTTGGGTAAGTGGGGAGCTGGAGGAGGCAACTCTAATACCAGGCACCTCACCTGGAAACACTGGAAGGCAGACCAACAGGAGACTCAGCTGCGTGTGGGCTGCATGTCTGCAGCTGGCTGGGAGGCCTCCAGCTATGGTGGCCATGGAGCCCTGGGAACAAGGCCAGTCTGCACGGAGATGCGTCATAAATGCAAAACATACGTGGTTTTCCAGTCTGGTTTCTAGTACAGAAGCAAGGTAAAACATTCACTTTTTTGAATTGAGTGTATGTTGAAATAATAGCATTGCAAATATATGAAGCTATGCCACATATCTTACTAAATTGATTTCACCTATCTCTTTTTACTTCTTTAAAGCTGGCTACTAGAAAAATTGAAAATGACATGTGTGGCTTATACCCTCAGCCTATGGGACAGAGCTGATTCGGAAAATTTGCAGCATCTTGTTTTTACGCCATTCCATGCTTCGTGGGCGCTTTCAATGGCTTTGCTCTTCTCTTCTTGCCTTTAGCCATGCAGGCCTTCTCCTTTCCTTTATGGTCATTGTGACCATGAGTGTGCAGTCAGGGAGAAGGGCAATTCAGCACCGACTTGCTCGGCCACAGCTCTGGGACTCTCCAAAGCCAGAGTTCACCAAACAGAGAGGCCCTCCTTCCCAGAATGCTTGTGGGAAGTGAGGTTCTAGGTCATTATTCTCTGGTTCATCAGCAATGCTCTTTAATTTTCACTTGGTTTTGCAAATATTTATACTTAAAATATTTTTAAAAAAATTATCAGTGACATGCACCAATGTAAGACACATTTGGTGCAGAAGATGGTCGGCCCCTTGCTCTTCCCATCGTGACCCAAAATCAACATTTCTTCTTTGGGAATCTACCACAGGAAACACATACAGTTCTAAATAAATTATTACGCTGCTACTTGTTGGTTTTTTCAATTATGATGTTGTCTATATGTTCTTCCTATGGAAGAAGTGTCCTTTTTCTGTTCTAATACAGTTTATTAATGTTTTATTTGTATGTATCAATATTGTCCCACTGAACCAAGTACTGTACAATCACTACACATTCTTGCACAAACTTTTCTCTTCCTGGAAGTGATAATTGCTTCATTTTGGGGGTTGCCTTTCTTCTGTAGCATTTTTACAAATTCTTTATTAAATTATGAAATAGCTTCAAATGCCAGTCAGGTGGCAAGTCTGCTGGTAACCACAGCTTTTCCACTTCTACCCTGGCCCCAGAACCTCACCTTCCTGCTCCTCTTGAAATGGTTGCTGGGTGTCCTCAAGAAACCCCACTTTTTTCAGGTGTCACCCTCTTTTTTTTTTTGGCTTCTTTGTCTTGGTTTATATTAGAACCTCTTTGGGAAAAAGAACTGAGAAGGTTTATGTTTTTTTGAGACTCTGGATATTTAAAAATGGTTGTATTCTGTCCTCTCCCTTTGTTTATTTTTATTGTTTTCTACCCTCTCCTTTTTAAAATACATTGGCTGGGAATAGAATTTTAAATTGAGAGTCGTTTCCCCCTTAGTATCTTGAAGTCACTGTACTGTTGTCTTGTTTCTGATGATGCTCTTGAGAAAAGGCCTGTTGTTCTCTGTGCCGCCCGTTGTCTGGCCCCTGTCTGCCTTCTCTCTGAAGCTGTCAGAATCACCTCTTTGCCCCCACTGATTGGACATTCACTGTGAGATGCCACAGCTTGGGGTTCTTCCTTTCAAGGATTTTAAAAAAAGATTTATTTATTTGTGCATACAGAACTGGGCACAGACCAGAGGTGCAGGGGCGGTGAGAGGCTTCACCAGAGACAGAGTGGGGAGCAGAACAGGCAGACAGAAGAAGCACACTGCTGAGGGGAGCGACGGGCGGGTCGGGAGAGGTCTGCCGCGCCACGTGGGTCAGCTCCGGGCGGGGATTGAACTCGTGCTGCAGTGGCTTCAGCTTCTCAGTGTATGCTTTCACCCGCTGCGCCACCAGCATGGGCCCCTTCTAGTATTTTGCTGCATATGCAGATGGCCTTTTCTAACCCAACACTCAGGCTTTCAGTTATGGGAAACGGTTCTTTAAACTCTTTTTCATAATTTCTCCCTAGTGTTTCCTCCATCCCTCCTCTCCTAGCCCACTGTGGATTCCTCTGACCTGTGTTTGCATCTTTCCTCCCCTCTCTTCCATTACATTGTCTTCTTGTTCTGCTTCCTGGGAACTTTCTCCAGTTTTGTCTTCCAAATCTTCAGGGGGGTTTCAGATTTCACCTTTTTCATTTTGTCATCTCCAAGAGCTCTCTTGCTTGTGTTTTCATCTTGACTTTTAAAAGATCTTCTTGTTTATGGATCCAACATCTTATTTCTCGAAGGGTTTTTAACTACAGAGCTTTGAGGTTTGCTTTTTTCCCAGTCCTTGCATTATCATCCTCTGATTTCTTCTCTTCTTCTTATTTAAAACTTGTATGTTTTTTCTCATCACTGTAGTCTTCCACAAGAGACTGGTCACTTTCGGGATGTCTGTGCATATTGAAAAGCAGGTCACTAAAAACTGTCCAGAAGCTGTGTGTATGTGTGTGTATGTGTACTTTTCAATTCAAGGGCTTCATTAGAAAGTGGCCAGTTTGGTACCTAAATATTTGGGGTGTGGGTCTCCCGATAAAGAGCTCTACCTGGGGCTAGTTTCCAGCGTAGAACTGCATAGATGCAGAGAAGGAACATCTGGATGACAGCACTTTCAGAACCAAGTGGCAGAAGGGGACAGGAGTTTCCAAAGTTCCAGGACCAGACTTTGATTTTCCCCACTTGTTTGAATCTGCGGTCGCACCCCTGACCTCCTCTACTGGGGTCTCTCTGGCTGAGTTTCCCTACAAAAGTGCCGGGGAGAGAGGAGTGATCACTGCCCTGCATGGAGGGAGAGCACACTGCTCCTCAGGTAGACGTGCGATCAGCTCTAGAGACTTGCGATCATGCTCTTTGCTCGTCCTCTCTCCTGTCGCATCTCTAACTCCTGACCCTCCTAGCCTATGTGGCGAGGTCTGTCCATTGCTGTTGACCACCTCTTCCTCAGGCTCTTGATCTCTGATTTCTCAGTTCTGCTAATTTCTCCATCTGCTTTCTGTCTTCCAGAAATGTGTTGACATCTGTTGCCTACTGATATCACCTCTCCAGCTCTCTCTGTCTTTGTCTTTTTATCTTCTTAGTCCTTTACCCTCGTCTTGGTGGAGTTTGGGAAGGAGCATATATGTGTTGAAGTAGTCATGTTTAGCGGGAAATCCTCGCAAGACTTTGAGTCCACTTCCCTGCCTTATTAGAGGCCTGAAGTGCTGAGAGCTGGATTTTCTCCCTGGAGAATTTGTAAGGCTTTCTTGGCATCATGATCAATTTTATTTCCAAAAGTAGTGGAGACTAGATTAAATCTGCCTGAGTGTAACATATTACTGGAAGTATTTGCTTTAAATAAATTATGTTATTCTGTTATTTAAATAAAAATTACTTTGCAAAATTAATTTTTTCTTAAACGCACACAGAAAACACCTTCTGATTGTTTTCTCTCCAGAAATTAGGACTCCCTGTGGGTTAGGTCCTGGCTAGCCAGGGCTTCAGTCAAGTTTAGGACTTGGCCAGGTTGAACTCAGATTTCTCTAGAGACATCTATTTAAAAAGGTAGGAGGGGGCCCTCCCTGGTGGTGCAGTGGGTTAAAGCACAGCACTAAGAAGCTTAAGCCACTTCAGCATGAGTTCGATCCCCGCCTGCCCCCCAGAGGTGACCCACATGTCGCGGCAGACCTCTCCTGACCCGCCCGCTGCTCCCCTCAGTAGTGTTCTTCATCAATCTGCCTGTTCTGCTCCCCACACTGTCTCTGGTGAATCCTCTCACCACCCTGCACCTCTGGCCTGTACCCCAGCTCTGTATGCACAAATAAATAAACTTTGGGGAAAAAAAAAGGTAGGAGGGCAATGAAGTTGCGAGGAGTCTAACTCCAGAAAGCCTAACGAACTCCCTGAACCTTAAGTCTCCCTTAACACATGTGTTAATTTTTAAGAAGCAGCTTATCCATTCATTAAAGTCAACACTCCCCTGCCCTCCAACACACACACACACACACACACACAGCGCTTTTTCTTGGCAGCAGTAAAGATGACCCTAGGCATGAAAAACGGATGCATTTCTGTGTTTCACTAAAGGTCTTGAGTGTCCCTGCCCCTACCTGGGAGGGGCAGGGCTGGGTGACTCTGGAGGAGGGGGCAGTGCGGGTCCTCAAGCGTCCTCTCTGTCCTTGCCTCTCCAGGTGCCCCCTTTCAAAGGTCTCAGCATCCTCACGCTACCTCCTGCCGCCACTTCCACCTGGGCCCCCCGCAGCCGCAGCAGCTGGCCCCCGACTTCCCCCTGGCCCACCCGGTGCCGTCGCAGCCGGGCCTCAGCGCCCACATGGCCCCGGCCCACCAGCACAGCGGCGCCCTGCACCAGTCGCTGACCCCGCTGTCCACCCTGCAGTTCCAGGACGTCACAGGTCCCTCCTTCCTACCTCAGGCCCTGCACCAGCAATACCTCCTGCAGCAGCAGCTCCTGGAAGCCCAGCACCGCAGGCTCGTCTCGCACCCCAGGTGAGTGCCCGCGAGGGTGGCGAGGTCAGTGCCTGGCTTCGGTCCAGCTGGCAGGGCCAGCACTCACCAAGTGAGTCTCCGCAGGAGGCAGCTTTTGCTCCAGTTAAAGACAGCTCCTTCCACGCAGCGGGCGCTGCTCCGACCCCAGGGGATGCCCTGGTCCCACAGGAGGAGGGGGGTGGGCTCGCTGGTGGAGCACGATGCCCACCCTGCACTTTCGCAGTGTGTGAGACTTGAGTAGGGAGTCCCTCAAGTCCCTCAAGTCTGGCAACATGATCATCTTGTTCTAACACCCAAGATCCCTGAGGGCTACTGAAGAACAAGGGTGGGTCACCTGGCCCTCAAAGAGCCCAGGCTGGTTGAAGAGACCAGCTATGGAACAAATGGCGCACCAAAGTAGGCTGTACTGACCAGACCGGTCTGAAGCAGCTGTGGGGCCCTGGGCCAGTCACCTCATTTTTCTGATTCTCAACTGTCAAGGAGTAAAAGTGGACTAGAGTCAGTGCTTCTCAGACTTTTGGTCTTGGAACTCTTTTTATTCTCAAAAATTATTGAGAATAAAAATTCAGTTTTTATTCTATTTATGTGGGCTATGACTATTAGAAAATAAAGCTGAGAAATTTAAACTATATTTATCAGTTCATTTGAAAATGGTTATAAGTGCATTATATGTTAACACCAATAATATATATATATATTTTAAGAAGAGCTATATAGATGTGCAGTAGGAACTTTAAAAAAAATTGCAAATCTCTAATGCTTGGGTTAATAACACAATAGAGTTCTCATGTCTGCTTCTGCATTCAGTTGGTTGCAAGATCACATGTCAGATTTTTCTGGAATACCACACTGTTGTTCACTGGTGAGAGAATGGGCAAATAAAACCATGGTATTATTAAGAATACAGTTTTGTCCCATGAAGGGAACTGGAGATCCCCAAGGGTTCTTGGGGCACACTCTAAGCTCCACCAATCTAGATAACATCTAAGACTTAGGCATTCGTGACTGTAGGGGTTGAGGCAGAAGGTGAGTGTTGTAGGTCAGAGAGAGGAGAGGTTATGATTTGGAATGTTCAGGGAGGTCTTCCTGGAGGAGATGGGCTTTGAACTGAGCCATGAAAGCTGGGAAGAGTGTAGAGAAGGGAGGAGAAGAGCATGATGGGAGCAGTGGGTCTGCACAGAGGTGGGAGAACCTGCAGGAGGCAGATCTGTGACTTGTGACTACCCAGGAGAGAGGGGAATAATAAATAGGAGGAGAGAGCAGGTGAGAATGGGTAGGACAGGTGACCTGAGGTGGACACACCAGGGAGAGGCATCAGGACAGAGGGCAGCCCCAGGACAGCAGGAATAGCTACAGTATTGGCTGTTGCCCAGCAAAGCAGCTTCCTTGGAGTTTGGCAAGAGGGAAAAACCTCACAACTCCATAGACTCTGGGCTCAGGCTGGCTGGGACCACTTGGGGCTCCCAGGAGCCCCTGTCACCAAGGACCCTCCTTCTCTCTGAGCAGGCGGAGTCAGGAGCGTGTGTCTGTCCACCCCCACCGCCTCCACCCCAGCTTTGACTTCGGCCACCAACTCCAGACACCTCAGCCCAGGTATTTGGCTGAGGGCACTGACTGGTGAGTCTATGGGGTCCCTGTGGAAGGGAGGGGAGACAGGAGGAGGGTCTCCCTGACCCATGGAGTTCCTTCACTTGAATGTGCAAGAGGCCTAGTCTTTACGCCTCTTCCCCCAGCTACAGCCCCTAATGGGTGTGGTTCCAGCATGAATTCAAATATCTGGGTGTCCTCATGTGTCCAACCTGGCGTGCAGTGTGCATGATCCTGCAAGGAAAGAGGGAACAGGCATACTAACACTTCCCAAGTTCAGTGAGGTACGGGAACCAGTGGTCAGTCCCTGGGAGGAGGGAGAACAGAGGCCCTCAGGAACGAAGGTAGTTGGTGCAGGCTTCCTGGAGGTGGTAGGTCTCAAGGGATCCACAGAGAATGTCTGGGCAAGCCGGCAAGGTAGTGCAGGTGGGGGTGGGGTGTAGACACCAGACTTTGACAGACTTAAAGAATGGAGACAGCTGGCTGGGTTGAAGGTAAGGACTTGGGAGAGCAGCTGGGGAGGGAGACAGGTTTTGTTGTGGTGTTGCGTAGACAACAGGCCCACACGCTCTTGCACTCAGGACAGAGGCTGTTGGTGCTCTGGGATGCAGTGCTGCTGGGTTTTGGATCCTTGGTCCCACCTGACCTTCCGGTCTAGCTCGGGAGAGGCTGATCTATAAGCTAGAGTCAGATGTGAACACCCCAACACGTGAAAAAGACTTGTTAGTGTCTGAAGTGATAGAAGTAAAAGGCATCATGCCTGCAACTAATTTTAAATAGTTCAGAAAAATTGCCCAGGGGGAAGTGCATGTGTAGGTATCTGGAGAAAGCAAGAGAAGAGAAGGAAATAAAAATGCAGTCCAATAGGAAACCATTTATACTCAGGAATCTAGGTGAAGTATCCAGGAATCTATGCAGTCCTAGCAAAAGACTTTTTTTTTTTTTTTAAGAATCTAGAAACAAACAAACAAAAACCCTCAGTGGAAAGGGATGGACCGATTAAGAAACAGACGTGTCGTGGTTTAGCTGAGGATTGCTTATTGCTTTGGGAACAACCCTGGGCTGGACATCTAGGAATGATGCTAAAGATAGTTCTGCTTGCTTGGATGCTAAAGATGTTACTAGGTGGAGAAATAGCCATTTTACCCGTTTTGATGTCTCCTCTGCTGGTTCTCAGGTACACTCCCTGGTAGATTGAAAGTCCCTTCCAAGAGAGATTACACAGCAGCCAACTTCAGCTCAGCCTTTTTCCAATTAGCAGATTCAAATTAAGAAGATTTAATTGCAGTTTGGATTGAAATCTGTCCCTCAGCAGTCAAGACAATCCAATTTAATTCAATTCAGCTCACCAGAGCACCCAGGGCCATGGCCTTCGGCTGAGTGATTTGAACAAACATGTGCAATGTGGCAAATGGGACTGTCCAGGTGACAGGTGGGAGCCACCCTGGAGAGACGGCAGGAGGAGGGGGCCAGGTGTTAGCCTTGACTCCTCTTTCTTTATGCTGCTCAAAAATCCCCCCCTCGGTCACTTCAAGTGCAGTGTACCTGATCTTTGCTTAACCAGAGACACCCCAGGGGCTGGACTGTACCCCACCTGGGGGGCTGAGAAGCCCCGACCCTGAGTCCCTAACCTTCCTGCCTGTCCAGTCCCCACTTTCCAAGTAAGACGCTCTTGGCAGAGGAGGAGGTGACAATCTCACCCCTCCTTGTAATTAGCTCTGTTCCAGCAAGGGCCAGCTCAGTGGTGACAAGGGGACATTTCTAATTGTGATCATGCATACTGTATCCCTCCCCTCTTTTCCAGAGAGGACTCCAGCCAGGAGACAACCAGCCTGGGAATTAGATTATAGGCTAATCACTCCAATGTATGATTGCAAGGGCTGTCTTCACCCTCTGCGAAGGGCCCTAGGAGGAAAGAGAGTTGGTTGCCCCTTCTCCCTTTTCTTTAGAGAACCATTGGGAACCACTAAATTCTGTCCTAGGTAATTCCAGGAGTGGAGTTGAAGGCCACAAGGCAGTGGGCATTTGGGAGGCCAGTAGCCCTGGAAAAATGTAAGGGTCTGTGGAACAATCAGGCCACAACCTACTTCAAGACCACTGACAGGGGAAAATCAGGTTCAGTTTGATGATGAGACACAATGGATCAAAACTGTGCATTGAAAAAACAAACAAACAAACAAACAAACAAACAAACAAACAAACAAACAAACAAACAACTGTGCATTGAGGCCAGGTCCATGAGAACTCTCTAGGGCACGGCTCTGGGTAACCCACCGTCTGTACGTCTGGGGGGTATTCCTGTGGCCCTTTGGGAAACTACTCCAGGTTCTCCTGGCTTGGTAGCAACAGCAGAGACATGGGAGACTTTGATTCTCCAGGGGTAAATATCTCCTTGGGGCAACACCACCCCTCCCCTCCCCCCAGGCTTCTTTGGGGTCGGTGCAGCATTCCTTAGTAGGGATCCTTGTTTAGGAAGAAATATGCTGATGAGGTGCTCAGAGGTGATCCCAGAGCCCAATCTACCTGAGCGGGTCATCCCATCCCTCACATCTGAGAGCCAAGGTGTCTTTTCTTCTCAAAGCAACATGCTTGGAATTGGGGTCACACTGCTCCAAGCTCCTTGGGACTTTGCTTTTTGTAGAGTTCCTTGAATATTTATTTTGCTTTGAATTTGCTGGCTTCTCTGAGGTTGCTGAGTACATGTTAAGAATAGGAGCATTTTCCACCCAAGGGTGCCCTTTTCCCAAGCATACATATACTATGTACATCGTGCATTTAATTACCCCATGCATATAAGCAAGTACATATAAGGAAGGGGATGAGTTCAGGTGAAGGCCAGAAACCCTGGTGCCAACTGGCCATTCCTGACTGCTCCTCGTCAGGCCTCCACCATGCCTGGCAAGAGCTGCACGCGTGGGTTACCAGGTTCAAGAACTCACGTCTCTTCCTAAATGACAGACTCATCAGTTGTTTCAGGAATTCAGGTTGACATATCTAAAAACAGAGCAATGTACATATATCATGGCAACATGGTTGGAAACAAATTCCCATAAACAATAGGAAATATACCACTATATTGCTATATTTATATCTATAGCTTATAAATATCAGTGTGTAATTTACAAACATAATTCTATTTACATGTACTGCTGAAGAAACAGGGTGGTTTTGCTGCAGTTTTCTCTTATCTGCATCTTGCAGATACCCTCTGGGGACTTTCCCCTGGCTCTATCTGGTGTTTTAGGGATGGGCTTTGTCTTGGGAGGGAGCTTTGGTGCAGTTGTTTCCAGAAGTTTCATAAGGCCTAGCCCTCTCTCTACAAGTCTCTGTTTCCTTTGCTCCGGAGCCCAGCGTGGTCGGGGTGGAGCCGTGCGGCTCTGGCAGCCGTGACCCTTGTGCCACAGGGCGGGCTGGGAGGCTGAGATTCTGCCGTTGGTTGATGGCCGTCACCTCAGCCTGTGGTTCATGTGGCCTGTCCCTGCAGGGATCTCAGCGTGGACGCCGGCTTGAGTCCTGCCCAGTTCCAGGTGCGGCCCCTCCCCCAGCACTATCAGCATTACCTAGCGACTCCTCGAATGCACCACTTTCCCAGAAACTCCTCCTCCACGCAGATGGTGAGTGAAAAGTCTGCCAGGAAGCTTCCTCCCCTGATGCCCATTGGGTGCCAGCAGTAGGCTGAGGCTTGTGTTTTTCCTCACCCCAACTCAGGGCGCCTTTGAGTCCTACTCCCCTGTGCCTGTGTGCAAGACCTCAGGTACCCCCACCTCCTTCCTTGTAAGATGAGAGTAATCTCTGAAGTTCCCATCAGCTCTGAAGGTCTGTGGTTTGCATAAAGCACCATCTCCTAAGAAATTAAGTCAGCAGGGCCCTCCCTGATGGCACAGCATGTTAAACCACAGCACTAAGAAGTTAAAGCCACTTCAGCATGAGTTCGATCCCTTCCTGCCCCAGAGGTGACCA